TGAGTCTAAGCCTCTCACTTGGAACTATACCCCTAGTGAGACTGGGAGAGAGCTCACAAGCGTAGCTTCTCCCTGAACCATAAGTAGTTTATAATCCCGGTTTTTCAGTTACCTATTCCACTCCTCCGTTTTTGTGACTAGAAATTAACATTTTCAACTGCTAGACTGACTCACAATTTTATCTCCCATTGGGCAATCCTTCTTTCCTTGTTTTCTCTATTTTATTTCTCCTCTTGCCCATTTGTACTCCGAATTCTTAGTGGGTATCGCTTCTGTTCACATTATGCTCATACTTGTCACCCATCCTCATCAATGTGACATTCCCCTTAGCGTCTTGCCGGCATCAACCCTATGACTAGCTTTGCTGTTACTTCAAATGAGTGGGCCAAGTTCAGTAGTGGAGGTGCACACAGTGTGGGAATTAAACTCATGCACACTGAGCAGCTTCCCTGGATACAGCTTATCGACAAAGCAGACAGGCAAGCATCAAAATTCAGAGGAAAGCAGAAATGCTCATTTTCATAATTGTTCAGGCCAGCCCACAAAGCAATCTCTGAGGGAGGATTACACAGATGAGCCAGAACATTGGAGACCTATTTTACATATGATTAAATTTGAACCATGTAAAATAAATTACAATATACAGAAAATATCTAGATCATAGATTCAAAGCCATATAAGCTGTTAACCGCCCTCCCCCAAAAGAAGCACATTAAAATAACACTGCAACTTTAACAGAGTAAAGTGCTCAAAGTTAGGAAATGCCAGAATTAAGATTGCTTATGAAACTTAAATTCTCACCCCCTTGGGCAAATGCATTATGATACTATCTTTAATTGCATGTGTTATATTTGGATCCAGCAGAAAAGACACAAACACAGAGGGAGCTGATAGAAACTCAGCTGTCTGCTGTGGTGGTAGTTCTATTGTTCTTGCAGCAAAAGTGAAAACAACATGAAAGTGAGGCTCTGCAGTGGAGATTAGGGGAGTGCTCAAATGTTTAAAGGGACAGGACATCATAACATGATCATATACTATTTTTTTCCATGGGACCACTGCTTCATTCAGTGAATTAGGAGTTACTCAATATTTCTTTTTATCCTTCTGGTTCAATGTGCGACCCAGGCTTCATGTAATGCACACCATCCAAACCCTACACTGAATACAAAATTATTGATTTTATCCTGGATGTTTGCAGTGCTCTCACTATAGTATAATAGTGCTTCACAAACATCAGCGTATCTTCACAAGAATCCTGTGAGATTAGGTAGCACTATCCCCATTTTACAGCTAGGGAACTGAGGGTAAAAGAGATTAAAGCTAAAATTGTCATAAGCATTCAGTAATTTTGTATGCCTGATCTGAGAGACACCGGGTTTTCACAGTGCTTATTTTTATAGCACATTATGTATTTAAAGCACTGCTCCAATAGACTTCGTTTTCAAGCGCTCAGCGCTTCACAGATCTAGATCCAGATGTCTCATATGGCGTGTGCCTCACTTTCCTAGTGCCCTAACAGCAATCATCTGTGAACAGTTTGGTTTAAGTGACTTGCCCAGCACCACACAGGAAGTCTGTGGCAGAGGTAGGGATAGAATCCAATTCTCCAGGGCAGCATTCAACTGCCTTAGCCCTGAGACCATGCCTTCTCTTCCTACATAGCATCCCAACTTCTGTAACAAATGAGGCAGGGTCAGAAATCCCACATAGAACTCAGAGTAAACACAATGGATTGCAATTGCTTTTTAGAGAGATTATAGTCTATTGTGTATATGAATATTTCAGGACTGTGTAAAGTATGGATTATGTAAATGTTCATGTAAGGACTTCAGAAATGCATAGTATTGACAGTACTATACTAGAGTATCATGTAAATGTGCGTCAAAGGAGTTTTAAAGACTGGTATTATTGTGCATTATCCTGCCAATAGTAGAACATTGACTTGGACTGCTTGAGACCCGCTTTCACTTCTAGCAGAAATGAAACCCATAATTAAGTTATGAGGTGTTGCTAACAATTTTGTTCCGGATCCTTACATTTAGTTATTAAACTCAGGACCATGGATAAAATTAAAATGAGCACATTTGGCATTTTATTGGTACTCTGCGTAAGAGTACCCACAAACATGTTCATCCAATTTTACTTCTAGCATCATTCGATGCTTCTCAATATAAGGAACTTCAAATTTGTAAAAACAGATGACGAGGGCGTGGCTTTACTTTTAGACTCATGGATTCTGATAATTCGAAAAAATGTCCTATTACTGATATTTGAAAATTGGCTACTGTAATTGTTACTCCAGGTATTTTGGTAACTTCTATGTCATGGGCAGGAGCCTCAGCCCTGAAGGGAGCCCCCCACCGTCCCCTCCTTTGAGCCTGTCTCTCCACCCCAATTCTCCCTCCCTCTCCCCTCCTCCCCCGCTGGCCATGAGAAGCGGGTGCTGGTATGTGCTCTCTTGCTGGGGGGGGGGGGGGCTCTGCCACTTACATCCTGTTTCTGCAAACCCTGTAGAGAGCTTACCCAATTTACAGTAACTTTTATCCTCTCTGCTCTTCCCTATCCTTGTCCCACCCCCACGCCACTGTTTGGCAGCGCTCATCCCCCTTTCTTAAACCTGGCTCCTACCTCCCATCCCTGACTCTCCCCTTCTCTCTCCTTCTCCTCCCTCCATCTGTTTGAGCTCCCTGCACACACAGTTTGCTCCCTGAACAAATTCAGCCCATCCCTCCTTCCAATTTGCCCCCCATCCTTTTAGCCTCCATTAATAGCAAAGGGCAAATTGTTATTCCTTGTGAGGGCAAAGTAAGGGCAGAAGCTTCACGAGATGTTACTGAGCATGCTCAGTAACAGCAAAGCAGCAAATTGTGCCGGGAAGCAGTCTATATTGCTACACTGGTCACACTCCCAGCCTTGTGACGTGCATGGTAGATACAGGATAGCTGGGCACAGCTTACAGGGAATGTTAATACTAACTCAGGGTCAATGCACAGTACATAGCCGACAGGACAGCGAGTCAGCCCATTAATATTATAATCTCTTAATTTGGAAAGAAGGGCAGTACCAGCCAAAATTGTACCTCCATCCCCCTCATCTGAGCTCCCATTCCCCTTTTCTGTCACGTTTACCTTGATCACATTTTCCCCATCTACTCTGACAGTCTATCCTGGTGAAACGTTTCCCAGATTTCTGGGGAAATCTCAATGTATTACAACATTTCCGACTGGACACTACATAAAAATGGACATCTTGAGAATGATGTAACTGGAGTCAATTGTGATACACAGCATGTAAGATCCACTTAGCTAACTGGAACGGAGTCCATGCTATCGGAACATTGTACAGATGGTGTGCCAGTGAGGGACATTTGGCTGGGCTTTTGCAATGGTTAATGCTATTAGTTCCTTCAGATGCCAAGAGCCAGAAAGAGATACTGTAAAACACGGCATGAAGTTATATAACAGTTTGTTCAATTCAGCTGCTGACAAGCAGCTTTGCATATTTCCATCTCCTGAATTATAACCCCTTTTATTAACAGTGGCCTCCCATGCCTCTTCTTCCAGAGGTGGTTAGGATAACAGTGTGTTTCCTGAACTTTTTTGATTTGTATTGCAGGTTCCACAAACTGCACCTCTTGAAGCCTTCCTGAGACAGGAGCAAAAGCAATGGATCTAAGACAGAGGATCACCCAGCCACTTCCTTCATTAAGTGGGTGGCTGGTGGAGGGTGAGGGAGGGACCTGCCACAGCAGTAGAGATGAACATACTTTTAAGCCTTCAGTACCAGACTGGTTCCATGTCACTGTGCAAATTTGGGGAAGAATTCCTCCCCCAACCTCAGCCTGTGCAGTACTCTTCATATACAATCTGGTTACTGGGACTGTGTACCAGGGAAAGGATTTGTGGCAACAGGAGAGGATGAACATTTCAGTCAACTATAGCTGTAAGCCTTTCAACAAGATTCCCATCTTCCAGGAAGAGGATTCTCAGCTAACCTTCCTCCATTAAGTGGGTTCTAAATACTTCATTTAATTTTATGAAATAGGCATCCAGTGTGTTCTTGGACAAAGCCTTTTAAAATGTGAATTATAGGTTTGTAGAAAGCCTCAAAGATTTGTTGAGTTTTTCCAATATTAAATTTCTGCTAAAAGTTTTAATCTCTGTTTACAAAGCACAGGCTTGCAAAGCAGACAGCATTTCAAGCTGTCAGATTCTTCTATGAACGAGAGGGAATGCAATGACTCTGAAATGTACTACAGCTTGCATTTGACAAGATATGTATTTATGGTTTTATTACAGTCCTTTATCATACTCCTTCCTTTTGTTTTTCTTAAATACACTTTGAAAAAGAAAACCATCATGTCACATTCAGGTTTCTAAATCATACAATGACTAGATTACCTCTGCAGGTACCTTCCACACCTACATTCCCTATAGTTCTATGATTTATATGTTCAGCTACCACTGCAGTACTGAGTCCTACAAAGAAAAAAACCTCAGTGTGCCTCAATACATCTTTTCAGCACCATTACATTGTTTTATGAAAATGACGAAGAATTTACTCAGATGAAAGGCGTATATTTCCTACGTGTAAGTTATTGTAGATTTAGTTTTTCCTACGTTTAAGTTATTGTCTTCTGTGACTCGTATGTCTGAACTGAGCATGCCAATTACTATGTTCAACAGTGGCCCTCAACCAGGTGTACACATGCCCCTGGGGGTACGCAGAGGTCTTCCAGGGGATACGTCAACTCATCTAGAGATTTGCCTAGTTGTACAACAGGCTACATTAAAAACACTAGCGAAGTCAGTACAAACTAAAATTTCATACAGACAGTACTTCTTTATACTGTTCTATATACTATACACTGAAATGCAAGTACAATATTTATATTCCAATTGATTTATTTTATAATTATATGGTAAAAATGAGAAAGTAAGCAATTTTTCAATAATAGTGTGCTGTGACACTTGTATTTTTATCTCTGATTTTGTAAGCAAGTAGTTTTAAGAGAGGTAAAACTTGGGGCTATGAAAGACAAATCAGACTCCTAAAAGGGGTATAGTAGTCTGGAAAGACTGAAAGCCACTGATGTAGGATACCATGAAAAGTACAGTACAGGTACAGTAATACCCTGGAGGACACTGATTGTTATTTCTCCCCTTTCTTCACTTAAATCTTTCTGGTTTACAGTAAGTGAGTTGATTGCACACCTACTGTGAATGTTCCAATAGCAATCAGATTAAATGCAAGTAGTTTAAAAGTCTTTGTTGCTACACTGCACCGTTTCAAATTCTTACTTAAAAAAAATCCATTAAGTTGTAAGAAAAAACCCTTATGTAAGCTATATATTTCATGAGGGGCTATACTGTACATTGTCTTAACCTCTCCATAAACTAATTCATGTTTTTATCTTTCTCATATTCAGTGGTGTGACTCCATCCCTTGTGAACCCTCTTCAGTCTTCCTTTCAAACTATGTATTTGTCTGAAACCCACAATTCATTTCCCCCATAGCCAAAACCATCTCAGATAGCTGCTGACATCCACAAACATAATTCAACATAGCCAGACTGTGTGAAGAAGCAATTGCAGAAAGTTCTTCAACCTGCTGTGCAATGAGGGGACAACCCTTCCTTCTGCAATACTTGCACACACTGTACCAGTCTACTTTATGACCCAAATGGTTAGCCGTAGTTGAAGTGTGGTTGGGGGAACCACAATTGGCAAACAAGCAATTATAACTCAAAAATCTATTGAAGAAAGATCCTTATTGTTCCAAACCTTCTCTGAGTTCTATCCCATTCCAACTCCATTTCTCTTTCCTCATTTATTTTCTGAGCTTAAGTCTGTTGGTGTAATACCACTGATCTTTGTTCTCTCTCCATCCACTCTTTCACTGTGGGCACTAACATCTCTCACATTCCTCACCCGAGTGGACCAGTACTACCTTAAAGTCTTGCTCTCCCTAAATGAATACTGACAATTTTCAAATCCCATCTCAAGATCCATCTCCTTTTCTCCACCACCACAACTGCACACACATTTGTATCTTTAATAGAGCCATTTTACCCTACTACCTGGGCCTTCCAATTATCCTATGTTCAATCAAGTGGCTTTAAACTAGTCCAGAGATTCAGTAGGCCATTGTCAAGGGGCCCAGTTTTGTGTCTCCCAACACATAATTCCCATTGCATTTTGTATAGCCCAGAATACTAAATGTGCTTATATAGACTTACTGGCTGTGGAATTCTCAACACTTCTGTATGAAGAGCATGGTACAAAACTGAACTATTGTGTTTACTCAAGAGCAGCAATGCATTTAAGTCTCCATTTGTAAATTAAATATGACATTAAGTTTGAAATCTACAAATTGATAACAATCAAGCTTTATTTGGGTGCGAGACTTTTCCCTTTCTTAAAACTGAAAAATGAAGATGAGTGGTTAACCAGTTATTTTAAACCTTCCCCAGGGCGATCACTTATTTTCTGTTAAATCTGAAATACTGTATCCTCCCTGGCAGGGGCTCACCCTCATCTTCTCAGATTTGTTGCAGCACATGAAGGCCAAATTCCTAAAAGAACACTTACTTTTGACTTGTTGTTCAGGAGCTTTGATGTGAGTCATCATCCCTGGCATGTTTACACTATTCCTGTGCAGGTATTTCAGGAAGACATCAGCATTCCTCCGAGCCAGCGTACAAGCCTATGAGAAGATTTGGTAGCATTTGATATTGCTGTGTTTGATGGGGTATTAACACACACACACACACACACCTTTTTCTGCTTACTATGTCCTATTCAATACAGAGCAGACAAACAGTTAAAAAGATCACTATTTTCAAAGCAAATAGCAGTTAATCCAGGACTAGGTTATCTGGCACTGCACACTAAATAGCATTACATGTAATTTATACCTGAAGTTACTTAAAAGTGATCATCTTCTCCATACTTTTAAGTGCGGCTCAAGGTACACAGAGTGGATTGTTTTTACGTATTTGGCATTATTATGTAAACCAAGTGCACAACTTTCAGTAATCACCTGGATATTGTAAAAGTTCCACCACTAGTTTAAATGGAAAAAATAATTGCTCTGCTGAAATTAAATGGAAAGTACTGAAAGAAGACATGCCCTTTAAAGGTCTTAAAAGCATTCAAACCAAAGAGCAACAAAACATCCAGAATCTAGTTGCATTGCCAAGACCCAGCATAGCTGCCTTCCTAACCTGAACTTCTGAATATATACCAAATACTATATATAGGCCTGGTGTCTTTTGTTTGTAATGAAGCGGAACATCAAAATACTACTTTAAAAGGTTAGGTGAAGACAGCACAATTATGACCAATGACAAAATCACTGAGACAGTAATTTATCAGATCATATTCTCATAACAGCCCAAAAGTTCAGACATTTGCAACAGAGAGATCCATTTGACACTGCCCCTACAGTTATACTAAAATTCATGTTTTCAGTGGTGTTTGCACCTCAGTATCGAACACTAAGAGGCTTTCAAAGGTTTCAGTGAGGCACACTGTTAAGTCTTTCCAGAAATTTTAGAAGTAGTCCGTATGAATAGCAGTCCACTATTATTGCTTATTAGTTATACTGAGAGTCTATCTTTAACCTGTCCAGGAATGATGAACGTATGTATCCCAGCAATCTTCAGCTGCTTGTTTAGCCAATTTCCTTATCCTTAATCTAAAAGACTGGGTCAGCCAAGCAGGCTAAATACAAGCCACTGACCTCCAAAACTGCTTCCTGATTCCTCTAGTTGCTGTCTTAGCTCAGTCCCAACTGTGGATCAGTAGCAGCTGGGTTCAGTGCTACAGTGCAACAGACTTATCAGATTTATTTATGACCAGATGGGGGTAGAGAATGGAAGTGATAAAAGCTAGTATTAAGAGATCCTTTATTCTGATTTGTCAATGGACACTACTCTAATACACCACCACAGGATGGACATGCTGTATAGTTACTGACCATATAGTATTTTCCATGCAGCCACATGTCCCACAGGTAGAGGCTATCACAATTATTTTCAAGTGCCACTGACGTAGTACCACTGCTAAGTCACCTTGCTTATCAGCAAAATTGAATACAAGTTGCCCAATACTACTGCCTCATCTTTTCTTCAGATTGCTGTTGTGTTGAATTTCTTGTACTATATTTTAAGATTTTCTTATTTCTCTGGAAAACAGCAGCCTTCACCCCCCGCCCCCCCTTGTCTCCCTCTCCTGATAGTCTCTCCCCACTCTCCTTCTGCTACCCTTTCCCCTTCCAAACTGGCTCTCTTCTTCCTAAGTGATTTTTTTATTTACAATTTGGTTACAATTCTACTCTTAAAATAAAGGTAGTGGTTCAGATTTTGTAACAGTAATACTCAAAGGCCTGGTCCACACTACCCCCCCCCACTTCGGACTAAGGTACGCAAATTCAGCTACGTTAATAACGTAGCTGAATTCGAAGTACCTTAGTCCGAACTTACCGCGGGTTCAGACGCGGCAGGCAGGCTCCCCCATCGATGCCGCGTACTCCTCTCGCCGAGCTGGAGTACCAGCGTCGACGGCGAGCACTTCCGGGATCGATCCGGGATCGATTTATGGCGTTTAAACCAGATGCGATAAATCGATCCCAGAACATCGATTGCCTGCCGCCGGACCCTCCGGTAAGTGTAGACGTACCCAAAGACATGGTGGCACTATAGCGTTTTGGAGCTTTCCTGTAGTGTAGAATATTATTTTGTTTTTAAGAGCCATTATAAAATACTACAGAAAAAGAAGCAAAGAATCAGGTTTCCCCACTGTAGCTCTAGCGCTGCTGGAAGCTGCTTTGAGTCATTGGGAGCCACTATACTGAGCGGCTGTTGCTTCTTTTAAAGAAGTGTCTTTCAAGTGTTCTGGGAAGCGGTGGCTGCTGAAAAGAGTGAGTCCCAATTGCACATCTATCACGGTGGGATGCCCGATTCTCTGTGCTATCTGCTGAAGTTGAACTGGAAAGGTATTTATATGAACTGGCAATGTTCTAATCACCACAAGAAACAGTCATATGCCATTTCCTGTGTAATCACCGTTCAGGAGCTCACAAAGCCATACACCTGTCACTGGGTTTTACAGGTCCACTCGAGATATATGAAGTAGAGGATGTAACTGCATGTCTCCCAACATGTAACCAACAATATCTTTACCTTCAGGAACGCTTCTTTTTGTTCAAGGTGCTTGCTTATCATAGGGGTCACGTGATCTGTTTCAGAGTTGGGACCCAGTTTGTCTGCTCCCCCACACCAGTCTTCTTCCCGCTTATATTCCTGCTCCAGACTCTCCAGCACACTGCACACCTACCAGCCAAAAGGAGACAAATATCCTTAGTATTTCAGCTGAACAACACTGTGAAGTAGTTTGAGCCAGGAGACTTGAAACCAAGAACCCTAGACATCTAATCCCAGCTCTGACATAGATGCTGACTATGTCTTTAATTTATCTGTTTTCCATCCCTTCTCTCTAAAATAGGGAAACTGCCATCACCTTCTGCCCAGGATGTGATGTGGATTAAAACTCATGAAACACTTTGAAGATGAAAAGTAAGATATGGGTGATAACATACTAGATATTTATGATGATAGGATTTGAATCAAGCTATGGTCAGAAGTGCTTTCTTACATGAGAGGACATCTGCACATATGACACTTTCCCTGGGCAAGGCCCTTTCCAGAAACTGAAAATCCAAATTAATCAATTACCTAATCCTGATTTGAAAAACAGGGGAAAGAAAAAAAGCTCAAAAAGAGCAGATGGGGATTTAAGATGTAGCTGACTTATCACTAAAGACAAAATCTAATACCAGAGGAACATTTTAGAGGAAATCCCTATATGAATGTTATTAATAACATGAATAATTTGTAACTAAGCATTTTACAAACACACTTTGTTTTATCAATTATAATGTGTGGTTTTTACTTTCTGCTCAATATAGAAAATAAAACTTCACTGACTGTACTGCAATTTGGTTACAGTCAGTTTCATTTTTCTAGGTCTCAGTTAATATAATACTGTCAGCGTTTCCAAGACGCCATGGGAAGTTCTAAATAAAAATTGTAAAATACCAACATTTCTGCTAATATCAGCTTTATAAACTTGAGCTCTAAAGCTAATTAACTCTGCCACTTGAGCCAAAGGTAATTTTATAATAAAATACCACAAATCCCTTTATTATTCTGCAAGGCATGGGTTTTCAAGAGTTCCTATACCTGCTCTGATGTTTTATAGAAGGCAACGGAAGCATTCACAAGTTTGAGACGGTCCTCCATCTTGAGCATCAGCTGCTGCCAATGAGAAGCAACTTTCTCAGCGCAGTCCCTGATCATATCCATATCATAATGATTAGCCTGCAGCATTGCCTCTGCTTTCTGCTGCACCTGCAGTGCACTTTGATGTGTTTTCTGATAAGAAGTTGAAATAAAATATTTAATTGCATAACATTTAAATGCATTTGCTTTAAATCCATGTTTCATTTTCTTATTTACAATGATATTTTCTACACACGTATATCAGACAAAGGAAATAAAGGGCTAGCAGTAGGTTGCAGCATAACTTTTTCTAGGCAAAAAATATGAAGTAAATGCAACAGAGATTTATCATCAATTGACAGTGACCTATCAGTCTACAAGTGCAGCAACTGCATAGCAACAGATTATGCAAGCCATACAATGCTCGCTAAGTTACAGTACATAACCTGATTATAATTATGGCTTCCAGGTTTGTTTTCTCTTTGGATTTGGAGGGGAAAGGTGGATAAAATGGAATGTTCTGGGTCCAGATACTCCAGGGGGAGAACGGGGACTGAACCTCAAAGAATAAGCAATTGAATCAACTGATTGGATACAATACTACTGTACTATACAATAATATTGAGTAAGGTCTCTTATGAAAGCTGGTGACACACTGGTGATTACTATCATTGTGAAATGTATGTACTAACAATATATGAGGAATTAGGAATATTCACTGATATTATGCTTTAAAGTCTGTAACCAAACAAAGGGAGAAATGGGTTTTCTCGCATACAGGGGGGAAGGCAGCCTTCTACATATCTCCACTGTAAATTAAGCATTGTGGAATCAAAACAACAGATGCTCCTTTTACATACGAATCAAGAGGGAGATGGGAAGAACAGCACAAGTCTAAACACCAGGATGCATCCTGAGTCTGGGGACAAAACAGTGAGTTTTGGAAATATGTAAGGGGATGCAAAAAGCCTTTTCATTTTTGTCCCCGTCTCTAAGGGGACGATCGGGTACAGTACCCTTTGAGCCTATGAAAGTTTATGTATGTAAGGAAATTGCTCAGGCAATGATTGTAACTGGCTAGAATTAACTTTTAGTCACAAGAAAGAGCATTTTATTTGTAACCTTTCCCCTCTCTTTCACTCTTACTTCTAATCACTTAATTCTTCTTTCACTAGGTTCCTTGATAATAAACATATTCTTGTTTTATTAGAAAAGCATCTCCACTGTAGGTCTTCAGCCAACTACCAGGCTGTTGTTTGTTGTCTCTTTGGAGGCAGCAAACTCGATAATTTCTCTGAGGGTTCAATGAGAGGGACTGGACGCTGCAGGGGCAACTTGGCTCTGGAAGGACTGTTGGTGTCACCTTGCAAGGGCTGGAGCCAGGTTGAGGCCACTGTGCAGTGAGCTGGCTGCTGGTTTCAGGGCTCTGGGGCAAAGCTACACAGCACAAAGGTTACAGGACAGGCAGTGACACAACCTCTTATTGGTCTGGGTGAAACCCAAAGCATCACAGCTTGATTACTGGATATCAGAATTATTCTCTTCATACAAACTTTCTTGCAGTCCATTTCCCACTTATGTGGAGTGAAAATGGATAGAACAAGTATCCAGGGGGATGTGAAATGAGTCAGCTAATTGATTATTTGTTAATGATAATACTGAACATTTTGTCCCCCAGCAAAAACATACACCTGTTTGTAATCTGGAAGCCCTATGTATAAGAAGTTTGATTATATGCAAGTGCACTATGGTCCAGAAAATATTCAAATTAAAATTCATCATCATTTATCCCTACATGGATAAATACCCATAGCTCAGGAGTGTTATACTCAATACCAAAGCTTTCAAGAATGAGGACATACACACTGCAAACTGTAAGCATAGATGGGAAACAGAAAACTCCACAAAAAGGCAGCAAAACAGAAGGCATTTACTGTAAAATGGAGTTCTTCTGAAAACAAAAAAGCTAATCAATCACCAGAGACACGATTTTAGTGTTCAGCAAAAGTAAAATACTGAACAAAACTTTACACACTATCCCCCAAAATAGTGCATTAAAATGTGTGCCAAAATAGTGCATTAAAATTTGTCTTTAATTTTTTGTCCAATTTTATACTGAAAGGATGGATAGGATTAACGCTAACATACTAATAATGAAAGCTCAGTTAGGAAGGCCTCGTAAAGATCAAATTAAAATATTAACAAAACCTACTAATTTACACATACAATACACTGAAGTTATGAGACTATGTTAGGACAACTTTTACCTTATTTGTAATGATGCAAATATTATGTATAATCCCCTTTTGTAACCAATTTATCATCTATTATATTAGCTAAGTCGTAAAACCTAAAAACCCACAGCATCCTATTCTAAACCGCTGTTTGCAATAGTCTTTTGTTTGATTAAATCTGTCTCAGCCATTTTGTAAATACACAATTTAAATATTTATATAAAGTGAACTGCCACTGCCCTTGACTTATTAAAAGCACTGCACTGACACAGAGCAGAATCACGACTGTCAGAATCCCTGCTACCCAAAACTCCCTTTCCTAGGAACTGTCCTCACCTCCCTCCGTCTATTCAACCCAAACGTACACACTCATGTTATTAACCTTTTCGTTGTTGCCCAAGTGGTGAGAGATCTATCTAGAAGGTACATATGGATTTAATCTATTCCTCATGTTGCTTTATAAGAGAGGTGGGCAAACTACGGCCCGCGGGCCACATCCGGCCCACTGGACCCTCCTGCCTGGTCCCTGAGCTCCTGCCCTGGGAGGCTCACCCCCGGCCCCTCCCCTGCAGCCTCAGCGCGCCGCACTGCCAGCGTAATGCTCTGGGCGGCTGGGCAGCGCAGCTGCAGAGCCTGGCCTGACCTGGTGCTCTGTGCTGCGCGGTGGCGTGGCTGGCACCAGCCAGGCGGTGTGGCTATAGCGCCGCCA